ATAAAAACTCCACACAACACCTCAGGAACCAAACCCAGGGTCCCAGCACTGTGAGGGAGCACCACAACACCATTGTGCTGACCTGCTCAAGGCCGTTCATCCATTTTCTAACTGCTTTTTCCAATTCAGGATGCCCAAACCTGTCCCAGTAACCCATGGGCATGAGGCAGGATACACCCTGGACAGGACGCCAGTCCATCACAGGGTAGACAAACACAGTCAAACAAAAACTCACACCTAGGTCCAATTTTCCCAGAAGCCAGTTAACCTATCGGTATGTTTTTTGACTGTGGGAGGAAACTGGAGCACCTGGAGGAGACCCACGTTAACATAGGGAAAACACACAAACTCCACATAGACAGCACCCCAGGACTATAATTGAACCCAGGGCCCCAGCGCTGTGAGGAAGCAATGCTAACCTTTGCACCACCATGCTGCCCTACTCATGAACAATATTTTTTTCATTCTTTTAGAATTATTTCTAGATTTTTAAATTCCACATTAACATGTATTTTTATATGTGTTATATATTATACATTTAGCAAACAAAGCAGATACCACATTAAAATAATTCGCAGTTGTGTCAGGAAGTGGATTGGTGAAACTGAAGTACAGACAGTAATACTGTAGGAATAAGTTCACAGAGGTAGCTGCGTTAGCATGTGCAGGCTGCAAAGGAACAAGTAAAGGTTTGTTCCCTGCTGAAAAAAGAAGAAAAGAAACATAACGTTTCGGCTGTGGAGTCTTCTTCAGGTGTGAGGCTCCACAGCCAAAACTTTCTTGTCTTCTCTTTTCAACATGGAGTAAACCTTTACTTGTTCCATATTTAGGAACTGTCATACTGCTATTACAGTTACTAGTGTGAATAATGTTTTTTTTTTATGAAGACGTTAAAACCTTCAGTGAAACAAATGCTCAGACATCTCAAAGCCTTTCTGTGGTATGGAACTTGGCACTATGCCCAGAAACGCATTCCACACACTGCATTCCTTGCTGAAGTTACCCCGTTCCTGTACTTTAAGAAAATCAGAGCATGCACTGTAAATTATATATTTCAGACAACTTATAGTGATCAGATCAGTACACTCACACAAAACAGGGAGAACATTTTTTAGTGAACTTCCACAATCCCTGAGCCAAAAGGGAAGTTACTTATATGCTCAATAGATCAAAACTACGATTAATAATGTGTGGTGAAACTATAACCATACTTAATAATGTTATTAGCTAAAAACAAGAAGCAATGTTGAACCTGCAGAGCAAATAGAGGAAGGACATGCAGATTTACTTTAAAAAATCCACGCTAATGTATTCCTTTCACTTTTTTGCTTCCGTTCTCCTTGTCATAGCAAAGTTTACTTTGCCTAAATCTGACATTAAACGATCCTTTAATGTAGTTAAATATTGGATTTCTCTTAATCATAATAAATAACTTTTGAAAAAGCGAATTAGTGTTATTTTTTAGATCATTTAGAACATTTTTAAAACATTTCGGAGCTGGCAAAAGTTCCACTCAAATATCGCACAGAGAAAATATAGACTCATCGGCTTGTAAACGCGCACCCTTCACAGCGTCTAGAAGATAGGTTTTGACCTTTATGTTGTACCTTTCTGGGGATTCCCATAACTTACAATTGGAGGTCAATATGTGCAGAATTGAATAGCGTAGGTCCTATCCGAACTTAAAATTGTTCTACTGTATATAGTTAAAGCATTTAAATTAATAAACGTGCTCGTAATGTTGTAGGAGTTAAATGTGAAACCATACTACAGGATTGTAAAGTTAAATATTACTCAGCTTGTCATCCCTGATACAAATAGATACTTAATAGAAAATAACCAAAAAGGTTTTTTAAAGTTTGTCCATTAATAGAATCAATTAAAAATATTATCACGATTTCAAATATTACATCCCTTCTTTATTTATTCATATAAAATCAGAAATTTCAGTTTGCACACCTGCTGAGCAATCAAGGAAATAAAACCATAAAACTAACAGAAAAGCCGAGCAAGACTCAGGCTGAAGTGAAAGCAGTGTTCAATTAAAGCATAAAATTCAAAACCGTTCTCTCGTCTTGAATTTAACACCTGTTACCTTTGTCGTGTGAAAACCGTGATATTAAAATTAAGGTTCTCTGTAAAACCATTTTGAAAACCACAAAACAGCTGTATTAATCTGCCTTTAATAAGGCATATTTACCAACATAAGAGATACTACAGTCATTGAACAAAACAGCCTTAAATTTGCATTAGCAATAAAGCTTCATTTCATTTATTCATCAGTTATTCAAAGCACAGAGGTTGTAAATCCATGCATGAACTTCAAATAACCTATAATACATAAACAGCATTAATCTGTGGACATAACCTGACAGTAAGTGATCCTTACTAATTAATTTCTTATTACCTTTAATCCGATTTGTCAGTTATAAATTCCTCATTAATAGTTACTTCAGTGCTAACAATTTATTAATCACATTGTTAACAACTGTTTACTTATAATTTCAAATTAGCTGTGCTCCACATTTCATATGGTGTAATTAGCTAATTGTTTAAATAGTTTGGTGAGTTTCCATTTTGTGGCTGTGTTCCTCACTGCCTTCTGAAACCAGTGACTAATGTTACAGCTAACTGATAAATTGATATATTGCCTTACTTTAATAAAAAGCTAAATGCAGTTAAGACTGTGGAAAAAAACTGATCTAAAAAATGTTGATTTGGAGTGTGTTGTCTTTACTAGTCATCATGTCTACAGTATAAAGAGTAACTTTACAAAAAACTTCCTTATATATTTTGGTTAATTGTAATTTCTCTCTTTCATATCTTAGTTAATTCACTAAGTAAAAGTCTGAACTATCATGGAATCTATATTTTATATACATTCCTTTATAATTATAAAAATGCTTTTAAAAGTTTTTAAGGTTTTTAAGTTTGTACACCATTAAGATACAAACAACTGTGATACTTTTGCCTCTGTGGGAATTTTATCTTTACACGTATAAAATGAGAATATTCAGGACATGTGAATCTTTTAAGGAATTTCATTACTCTCTTTATAAAATATTTTTAACATGCAAAATATCAAATTGTTCACTTGCTTTTTAAATATACACATTTTTTACATGCTCTGAAACGGCACTACATTAAAGTAGGAGATACTGGAAGAACATCTTTCTAATACCATTTTAAAAATTCAATTCAATAAAGAAAGCCACTATTTACAATAAGATGAAACAAGCAAAAAAAAATTAACATCCATTTTTGAACCACTTCATCTAATTCTGGGTTGCAGGGGAGCTGAAGTCTAACCCATCTCCTTTATTTATAAGTGCAAGGAAATAACTCAAAATACTGATACACACACAAAAGCCTAAACTTTTCTTCATCCTGCTAACCACACTTTGTTATTGATAGTCTCTATAAAAATACTGGGGATCTAAGCTGTGTAATGGCTTTCAAACTTAAATCTCTCTCCAAGACCCCTCAAATGCAGAAGTAAATCGCTTGCCAAAATGTCCCACTGCTGTTATGCCCTGGATCTGCCCTCTGTCCCCAACCTGTCTGTCCTAGTTTTTAAAATTGCCTTCTCCTAACTGGTCAGGTGATTGAAGACGGCTGCTTGTTCCTACAGCATTCTGGGGAATGTGGTTCAGCCAAAAAACTTAATGTTTTCTGAACCTACTATCTACCATATAAAAGACAACTGTGTATAAAACTGCCTCAATTCTTTTGCTTTGCAAACATTTTTCAACTCAAGAGTTAAATTCCTTGTTCTGCAGTGTGCTCATATTCTTTAGGTCGTCTAGGGATCAGATTATTTACGAAGTCAATCAGACAACACTCCAGCAGTGGTATTAAAACATTGTACACTTCTTAGTTTGCTGGTTCTAGGGACACTCATCAGGGATGCCTGTTCTGTTGTTCTGTTTTTGGAGGTACTAACTCATTGTCCATCAATCTGTCTCCTATTCATTTTATTAAAAAATCAGCGCTGCATATAGATTTTCTCTGATGATAATTATTTATGTATAATACATATTTTTGATCATTTTCCTGCTGTATCAGGGTATAAAACTAGTCAAAGTCATTAGTGCCTTAAAATTTTGCAATGGAGAAAACGGGCTTACTGTATCTATGCAACTGTACATTATGCCATTGCATAAATGCTTCAGATAACTTGATATTAAAATTTGCTCTTAATAACATGCCACAACAATAAACTAACACTATAGATGGTGACATGAACAGTGGACACGTTATTCTGTTATCTTCATGCTTACTTTTATAATAGAAGTACAAGTACTTTCTTGGTCAATTGTTTTCAGTTCTAGCATCCACTGTCTTCCCTTTAAGGATTCACGATATACTACATACTGGTTGAAAAACATGACATTTCTGAATTCCTCTGGTATAGGAAGTGACCATACATTATATTCTCCACTCTTGAACATGAGAAATCTGGGAGCAGCTGAGCTCTGTCAAAGTCTTTTTTCCCAGTTTTCAAGAGAAGGCCATTCCTTACCCTCACTTAAAGCTGTTGTTGCTTAATAACTACAATTTTGACCCTTAACAGCAGCTGAAACGGATCTGGTTGGCTTGTCTGACCAAAAAAAAATATTTGTACTAAGAGGAAGCTACTCATTCCCTCTTCTGGCACCATTAGTTCCTGGCCTGTTTTGATATTGTTTATGTGGAATCCTCTACTGCGCAGGTCCATTGAGCTGGAGAAGTGTGTGTATGTGTATATGTGAAATCCTTATTGCACAGAACCTCTACCATTGCTGATTTTTTTTAATTTCAGGAGTCCCTCGTGGGACGCTCAGAGGGGAACACCACTGCGTGTGGGGTCGGCATGTCTTGTTTTTAATTGTTCAGATTTTTCTAAGTTCAAATACTGTATAAACATGTTCACCAAAAGGAAGCAGATCAGGGATCTCAACTTTACATGTCCACAGTACATAGTAAAGACAACATAATAATACTGAAAAACACAATGAGAATTTGTTTTTCCATTTCACTTTTAATAAAATTACAATACAAATAACATACCCCTCAAGCATCAAGTTTAGGAAAATTGTCCCTGCTCAAACCAAACTTAAAAATGCAAAAAGGTACAGAATATTTGCCAGCAGGCACAGTGGGTGTATTTGAATGGAAAATTAACAGAAAAAAATCCCCTTGTTGGAATGCCCTTTTCTAATGGCAACTGCGTTTTAGATTGTGCTCAATGTTAAGTATAACAATTATCCTTTAGCTTTTACTATAATTGAATTGTACAACATGTTTTAAAATGCTTTTGTGTTCATGGTCATATAATTAGGGGAACAACTTTGGCACAGAGGTCAGGGATTCTATATACCTGTAAATTATTGAAAAATCCAGTAAAAAAAAATGAGATTTGAGAAAAAAGGCACAAAAAATTACATGAAAACAGAACATCTATGAAAAAAAAGATTAAAGACTATAAGTAACTTTAGTCCACTTTCACCACTATATAATAACAGCAAACAGCACTGCATTAGATAGATGTTTTTAGCATCTAAAAGTTAAAGTATGTACTTAATAAAAAAAAAAATGAGTAAAAGGGGTTAAATGTTTCATGATATTAAGAAAAACCTCATTTATTATTTAGAACAATATTAAGATCCTGGTAAAGTAATATTATTTGAGTAGATGCTTTAGAGTACAAAAAGCAGATATAAATACATATTTCCCTATAGGTCTTAAAATTAGCGGAAGGCAAACCAGCAATATTATCAGAGATAAAGTAAATGGCTTTAAAATCACTTACTACACCTCACTGCAGACATTACATGTGATTATCTTAAACAATGTAAAGCATGGTTTAGTTACTGCTAAACAAATACGAAAGGAAAAAGATGCAATCTTACAAAAATGAATAAACAAGAATGATGGAAACAAATCGGGCATCTTTGCTCAGTTCCAAGTGCAGTTGGATGACAATTCATTTATACTTGCCCTGATTTCCTGTTTTTCTTTGGTGGGATAAATGTAGGCATCATGAAGGGTGTGCAGGTGAAATATGTGAGGCGATGGGACAATTCCCTGAAGAACAGTATAGAACCTTTAAAGCTACATCACACATACTTCTTGGACAAAGAAAGGTTTGCTTTCTTTATGCTTTGGACTTTTGTTTCTTAAAAACTGCTCTCCAGAATGATGTGAACATGCAAACAGCACAGCATAACTGAATTTCCCAGCTGTGACTAATTCGATGCTCAAGACAATTATTTTATTTATTTTACAGCTGTTTTCCGTTCTTCTTTACCCTCTAACCTTTCTTGCTCTTTCATCCAAGATCCATGCTTCTTTTACACCGAAGGACCTCTGCTGCCAAGATGGCTGCCATCCTTCAGTTATCACAGTACTGTACCTTTAAGACGGACAGCATCAGCACTGTGATAACTGAGCCAGGGCAGCCTGTCACATCAAGCCGAGGTATAGATTCCGCAGTGTAACGGGGTCAGAGTTGAAGCAATCCTACACATCATCCTTTGCCTCGAAACTGTGAAAAGGAAGATTCAACAATCAAATTCAAATGGCATTGGAGGGACACATCTAAGAATTAGGATGTTTCAGGTACAGAAGTAAGGTTTCAGCACATATGCTGCATAACTACCAGGAAACAACTTTGGGTGTAAGAAGAAGGCTCCACAGCTGAAACGTTGTGTTTCGTTCCTTCTCTTTTCAGCATGGAATAAACCTATTACTTGTTCCTTTGTCACCAGTGCAGTCCATTAATGATAAGTTGTTGAGTGACTCCAGTGACTTCAGAAGGATGTCATACTATTGTTCTAACCTGCTCTGGTTTTGTGTAAACATTAACAAGCAGAAACCTAATACTGCTTAATTTCATTTCAAACACACCGACACTAGTGGTTTATTCTTTGCCTCTGAAGTTGTCCTCTGTAGTAATCTGTAAATTGCACAGATAAAATACCCTGGTTGCACAATAGGTGGCACCTTAGAAGTGTTTTTAAAAGAAAAAGTAGAGTCTTCTTTACTGAAACCTTCTCACTACATAAGATTAACAAATAGTCAAGTTAATTCTTGACCATGTCTACAGTATGTAGTCGATCCTGACAAATAGAATTGCAAAATACTGCCAAAATAAATATTTTTTTACAAAGTACTATGTTTTAATGAAGAGAATAACATTTTTTTGCTATTTGTTATTTTAATAGAGATGAAATCCTCAGCACTGAAGTAATCTTTCTGGTTTGGTGTTTGTGACGGGGATAGTCATACGATTTATTTAAGCAAATTGTGAACTTTGTAAAGTTGACTTGCAGTGTATTTTTCACTAAATCTATTTGGATAATTCTCAATGTTGCTGAAAAAAGGCATTTTAAAAATATGCAAACAATCATCAAGATATTTATGAATTCAAAAACCACACAGTCTCAAAGCATGTTATTTTACTGCAAAAAAAATATATTATTGTCCTTTGAGATTTTGAGGATTTTATCTTTTAACTACAACTCATGGTTCATTAGAAATAACACGAGAGATTATATGTCATGCTGTATTGTTTATTTTACTTTTGTATCCTTTCAGGGTCTGTTTTGCTTTATGAAGCATTAAGTAGCAAGCAGGATTTTAAGAGTAGTTTAAAATGCTTAATTATATTCCTCAGAATGTAATATTTTAATCTCGGCCAAGCACAGATACTGTAGAACAGACTGAAAATGAACAACCTGAGGTACAGTATTCACATTTAAGTTCACATTTAATTTACTCATGCTAAAACAGTAGAGCCTGTTTATTATGGCTGAATCAGAACCTTCTATTATACCAGAACTAAGGATAGTACATTGACCTATATAATATGTAACAGGGTCCTCTAAAAAATGTTGGACACTTATTTGCTATAATTTCAATTACCTGAAAACAAAAGTAAATTATCTTGGAAACTGGATGTTAGTATGTTTTTATTTAAACTACAGGTGCATTTCCTATGTACACTTCGTTCAAATTAAACTTCCAACAGCCTTTTTTTAGGATGGTAAAATATAACAAACTTCCCTATAAATGTATCCACTCGGACTCAGACATGAAAGAGAGCACAAGACTGGTCAAGCAAATCTCCATTTAATGTTGAGCTATCATTGCTTACTTCAATGAGCCCTTCATATTAAACACGATAATACATAATAAAGCGCAAAGCAAAATGCCACGTTACTGCAACAGCAGCCCTAACAAAAATCAAAACAAAGGCGTGCTGCTTCGTGTTAATTTAACGTGTACTGTACGGTATCCGCTATTGTAGTTTCTGTTATTTTACATTTAATCAAGTAAATGCCTTTCAACAACAAAAATGACGTGCGAATGTTTTAAAAAAGACTATATTATGGCTAAGGCATAAATGCATACATACCACGAAACACGCACGTCAAACTTGTTATGGTCTCTGCTGCGACTCCACCCTCGGATCGCTGTTTCTTTCCAGCAGTCCAGTCACACTGCCTCTTCAGAGAAGCCTCCTCCCCCAGTCGCTCCGCCCTCCTCGCTCAGCCCTTCATGTAAACAACTCGATTAGTTCTGTTTGCCATCACAGGACTGTAGGGACAGCTGCCAAAATTATTAAAAATAACATCTGCGCGATGTAAAAAAACACGAATAGGCAAACAATGTGCACACGCATGTGTTACCGCACCAGTTCTTGTATCACCAAAAGACGACCACATCCTGAACTATTAAGAACAAAGCTGATATAACATAGGTAAACATTCAGGTGCATGCAAACTCCGTAGACCTACAAATGAATATATACGAGTACAAAAGCACTTTTTCCAAACAAAACGTTAACTTACTTTTTGCGTGCAAGCGCCAATAAAGCGCTATCGGCTGCGTAACGGAAAATCAAATTTGATATGTAATTAAAAAAATACTTCAGATATATAGTATTCGCAATTATTTACAAAATGCACTGCAATGCAGTTAATTTACAGTATTAAATAGAATTAATGTTATGCTTTTGCCAGTCTCTGTAGACTTCCATGTAGACGAATGCTAACGCCCAACGCTGCACACACCCCTTTCAAAACGAAATTGTAAACAAACCTGATGCAGACCTCACAAAAAGAGAAACTTTAACGCCTTCTGGTATACATGTCGAGTACTTACATCTAACGATTCTGAGCATCGCCTTTCAGTACTTTGCTTGTTTTTTTCCCTGTATTTCCACGAACATTTTCTAATGACGCAGCAAGACCACATTGTACAACGTGATTGTCGCCATTTTTTGTTGTTATTGAAAGCTTCTTTTTAACCATGTGACAAAATAAAAAAAGCTTCCGGGTCCCGCGAACTAAGGAGAAAGAGAAAGAGTGACGTGGTCTGTCACCAAACGTTTCGACATCGGTTTAAACGGCTTTCTTCTGAGTTTCAGTTATTAACATATTTGCACTCGACTTTTGATGCTTTATAACGTATTTACTTTCGTTGCATTGTCGCATTTTGGTTCCAGTCGCCAGCAGTCGTTCTGCGATGAGGCAGTCAGTGCCAGAGGAGCTGGTGTTAAAAATGCAGGCTTGTGCTTTCCTTCTTCCGAGACCTGTCATTATGACCATTTATGGGTGTAAAGATGAAAAGCGATCAAAGACATTCAATTTGTCCTGCTTCTTTCCGAGAAATATAATTCCAGAAGAAATTAAGATATCAAATTGCGTATCAAGAACAAGTAAGGAGTGCGTCAGAATTCTGTAAACTAATACTACAAGACAAGGATTCCTTGATTGCAGTTTATTAATGCAGACCTCTCCAGTCCTGTTCCTGGGAGACAACACACCTGCTGGGTTTTGTTCCCGAACTCACATAATTGAACCCTTAATAGACTTAATAATAATAGCTTAAATTTGAACTCTTTAATTGTATTTACAGACATGTTGGAGTTCGGTTTTGAACTGTTATTACTGTTATTCTCAAGTAACTTCAAATCTTGTTATTGTAGTATGAGCACTTTGCATGAACATTTGGATAAATTGCATTTTAAAACAACCTAAGTGATATTTACAGTACATCCTTTTCAGTTTTTTTTATTTCGACCCCTGTACAAAATATTATAAAATGCTATTTGTGAATAAGACAGCACTGTGTAGATAGAACAACAAGCTATACAGACACAGCAAAATTATGTTTAAGGAACACTGTATGGAGAGAACAAAATGCTGTGTAAAAAAAAACAAAACACTATAGAGAGACAACAAAGCTGCATAGGCAGACTACAATGTTGAAGCAGGAGAACAACATGTTTTATAGGGATGCCAAAGCGTGTTATAATTACAATGACATATGTATAGGAAGAACAAAGTGCTATATAAGAACAACAAAATGCTATAAAGGGAAATGCATAGGGAAAACAACACACAGTATAAGAAGAAAACCATCTTGCAGGTCAAGTGTTTTTCTATAACAGACGTCATCCTCAAAGAAAAATTCTTAACATGATTGCCTTTGAAAGTCAAAGATGAACTGAAATATTTAATGGGATCAAGACTTAAAACAATGTGCCAACTGGGAGACTATAATCAATAACTACCACTGCTGCACCTACTGCAAAGACTGTGCAGTTTCATTGCAAATTGCACAAAATTACAATTCTTATTTCCCTAATTTCTTGAATTACCACTTTACCAGTCGCTGACAGGTAATTTGTGGTAAAGTAATGTGGTTTGATCACATTATGCAATCGTTTTTAGATGTGTTAATTCAATTTCAGCAGACGTCTGGCAGCAGCCTTGGTTTAAATCACTTCTCAATGAGCTGTCATCCATGTGTGGTGATCTTTTACTTAGCACTGAGGTCCAGGGGCTTAGCAAAGGGAAACTGTTGCATCGATTTCTTTTTTAATTGTGTCAGGAATCCAAGCTTTTCATGGAACCAAGAAAGCCCTCAGTACCTATCAAACATCAGGCATAGCACGGCTGCTGGATTTGGCATTTCTAACAAAGGTGTCAGAAATATTGAGCAGCCTGAGGTGTGAAGTGCAAGAGAAACAAAGTCAATTACAGACATGACTGGTCCAAAGTGAAAGCTTTGAATTCAGAATTTAACTTCTGGGTTGTATTAAGTGCAGAAGAGGAAAGTGCAACATTTTCCTTTTTTGCTCTAAATGCTGATGGCCTCCTGGATATTAGTAAGTACAGTGAGTCCTTGAATAGGCCGGGTCTAGAATTCAACAACAGATTTAATGATTTAACAGCAGCAGGAGCTGTGCGTAATGTATTCTTGAAACTCCAGTGTATGAATAATAATAATCCTTACAAGTATATCGAGCTTTTCTGGACACCCCTCCACTACCAATGTGCTCCTGGACGATGCAGCCAAAGTGTGCCAGTGCGCTTACCACACATCAGCTACCAGCTGGTTGGAGAACAGGAAATGAAGCCATTTCATAGATGTACTGTGTATTATTAGGAGGTTCTGATTGGCTAAAGGCCAGGGGGAAATTTGGCCAGGATGCCATGGTTACACACCTACTCCTTTTTAATGAACATGGAGAGTCATGACCTTGGTTTTTTTTCCATCAGAAGGATGGAACCCTTCTACCGTATGGTTTCTCCATCAGTGTGTTGCCAGTTGTGAGTTGCGGCATGATATAGCCTGACCATAATCTCTGGTTTGTGAAATGACATTAGGCCAAGCTGCAAAGCGAGCAGAGAACTTTGCAAATTAAACAGGAAGAGCAAACATTCCTTTTCCACTTTCTTCTGGAAGGACCCACTGACAAGCACAGGAGAAACAGATAAAAATACCAAGGGTCTGCAGAAGTTGGGCACCAGTACCTGAATCTATGTGCTCAAGGGCAGATGACAGAGGCGGTGATGTCAAGAGAACCCCAGCTTAAAGACCTGCTTCCTGAAGTGCAGCTGAAGGAGCAAGACCTGATATAGAAAGCCTAAGGACAGTGGCTGTGGTGGAATGAGCTGACTCCCCGTCTGATGCAGTTATAGGACTGGTGTCACTCTAGGCCTCCATTGCTATAGAACAGCATGCTCCTCTGCTTGTAAAAATCTTTAGCACAGGGGAGTGCTAATGGCTGTTGGTGGTCCCTTGAGTCCCAGTGAGGCATGGTGTCTGTGGGACTCTGGGATTCAGACAATCTGGGGAAGCTAAGAACCTACACTGCCTCTGGTGATATTTCTAATAGGGTACTGCCACAGGACAATTGTGCAAATCTACAGTACTTGTCACATTTACAGTGGCACAGAAGGGTTCTGGTTACCATTGTCATGCTCTCCTGCTTCAGTACCAGCTGTGGGCACCTATGAAATGGGTGGAGGAGGAAGTTCCACTCTGAGGCAGGCAGTGTATATAGATTAATCCTTGTGAGTATAGATTCCATTACTGAGCTGCCCATACAAACTCACAGACCAGACGCAGTCTCCGTGAGATGTTTGATCATTCTGGGGAGCACATGTCTATGTTCAGCCCCAATCAGAAGAAAAGACTGTTTCTTAAGCCGGTACAACTACAGTATGACAGGGATCCTGCATAACCTTGGAACAGTTCTCCAGGGTCGTCTTAGTCTCTAGGGTTCAAATGAGGTCTTGTCAGCAGCATATGTTTCGTCACTATGATTTACCCTAATAAAGACTGACCGACTGTCACAATTGTAATCCCTCCTCTTAAGGGCGCTCCGGCTCTTTCACATTTAAGTTGATTTTGTGCACCTGTCTCCTATCCAGTCCCTCCTTTATAAGCCAGATGCTCACTCTATTCCAGGCTCTGCATTGGAAGATGGATGCTGGAGGCCCGCCTACGACCAAGTGGCCCTACGTCCGCAGCTTGAGGGCATAGGCCTCCTATCAGTGTTCTGACCCAGCTGAGTCTGGGCTCAGAGCGCCTGGTCCCATTATCATCATTTTTATTCCCTCTTCCTGCACCGGATCCCGTTCCTCTTTTTAATTTTGTCTTGTTTTGTCTTGGATGGATCACCCGGTACTGGAGCTTTGAACTTCACCTTGGATTTCCCTTCGGACCTCCTTGGACTTGTTTGCCTGGACCATCCCACCAAGCACCAGTGCACATTCATCAACCCCCCCTGTTCGTCAACCTACCCAGTTCCTCATCGTCTCCTCCCCGTGTCTGTCTCACTCCCTTCCGGATTCTGCAGTCTGCATAGGGTCCTGATCAATGCTTTGACTTCAACAGGACTTCAGCTCTCCCATCAGGCAGAGAGGAAGAGAAGCATCAGGAAAAGAGGCAAAAGAGACTAATTTGGGCTTTGGAGACCCAGCAGATGAAGAGGGGTTGAAGAAAAACCCCAAAGGCTTCAGCTCTGTCTGGGTACTGGTGGCCAATCACAATGCTCACAGTATCGCCCACGTACTTTCAGATGTTATAATGATGGGCAGAAAAACTCTGATGGAGGACACTGCAATGGTAATTACTGTATGAAAGTACACATGTTCATTAGAATTCCTTTAATGCCGGGGTTATTGTAAATCTTTGCATAGTTATCCTGACACAGTGTGTATTTGGGGTGTGGCTCAACCTTTGGGATATGAGGAAACACTGAAGCACTGAAGTCAGAGCAAGTGAGTGGGTAGCGGCCAGACAGTTAATCCTTCTCCAATGCAGCTTTGTAGAACATTGAATTGATTATACACAAAACAATTAACGGGAGCAAATATTTGTCGAAGTCGACACTATGACATTTGAAAGAAACTATTAAGTTCTCAGCTTCCAAGTAGATCGTCATAATTGACAACCATTCAAAGCTAATTCGTTTAATTATGTATACTAACCTTTATTTACCGTCATAAATGCTTATGCTGTTTTTACATAACATGTTCTTTATTATATGTATTTCAATTTCATTATTTAATAAATAAGGTGTAAAGTTTAAACAACTCAGATTGCACTGTTATACAGTAACGTAACCAACCGCGTACTGTATTTTATTTCTCGGTGTGTCAAACTGCCGCTAGGCGGAGCTGCAACGCTTGCGAGGAACCTTGCAAATCAAAAAACAGCATTAAATGATCCTATTGCCTCTTTCGTACCTAACGGAGCATTCAGGAGCGCTGGGATATTGCTGCATGTCTCCCGATAATCGTTTGAGTATCAATTTATATAAACTGAACAGCTATTTTTATTCTGAATGTTGGTTTGGGCTCTTGACTCAACGCGAAGGCTGGATCTACAGTAATTCTAGATGGGACACTGCTATTATGCTCTTGAAAAAGCCACTCAAAGTACTCAAGTAAAATGCGCGGCTGTCCGAATGAGTACAAATGTAAGTTACTTTGCTTGAAAGCGTTATCAAAATACATTAAAATATAAGTTCAGATCATAAAAGACTACATCTACCATAATTCCAAAGTTTTAGCGATTACATCCATGCGCGATGTCGTCCGCATTCTTGCATGATGAAGTGTAAGGAGGTGTTCAGTACCAAGTGGGACTGGTTCTCATTCATTTTCGTCGAAAATACAGTTTCTTAAAGATACAGTAAAGCAGAAATTCCGTGGGTGGAGAGTTTAATCTTTTACTGACTTGCTCTGAATATTTTCCATTTGAATGTAAAAACGCCATTTTGCAGGAAAACAGAGGACTTGGGAGGTAAGGTTATTACTATTATTTTTAAATTCTGGTATTTTCTGTGTGTTTGCTTTTTAGAAAATGATGGTAATTTTGATCAAACTGCACCGTAGAGCCGTGGAGTGAAATAGTGTATAGCGCTGTAGTGCATAACTGAAATACACGAAGATACTTAAACTTAATTAGAAAAGTTTAAGAAATCGCTTCTTTTCAGTGGGTTTCTTGATGCGCTCTAATCTAAATTATTAAAAGTCCAAATGTTATTATGTAAGTTGCCACCCCCACAGTTTTGTTCTTGAAAAATGAAAAATGCTAGATTGAAAAATGGAAATTGTGAATTTCAAGAAATAATTTACAAAATGTTTTAATCTTTAGCTCAAATACATGTATCGTGTAAAGAAAACGAAATTGCAGAATAAGAGAGTTTAATTGGTATTTTTGTTGAATATCAACCGTGGATATTTTATTGTACTTATTTAAGTACATTTTAATAAACATACAGTATGTTGTGTAAACCGTAATGGATGAAACAGGCATTTACTATTATGTTAAATGTGTCTAAAAGTAATGTTTTTTCAACATTATGATTAGATAAGTCAGAAGAAAATGGCAAATAAGTTATTCCGAGCCATCATTATGGGTCCTCCGGGCTCTGGGAAGGGAACAATTTCTCAGAGAATCGCCCAGAGGTTTGGCCTGCAACATCTGTCCAGCGGTGATTTCCTCCGGGAGAACATCGCAGCAAGCACTGGTAGGTGAGCCCTTCTGTGAGTTTACAGTGGGGGTCTGAATTTTCTGCAAGACTCCTATCATGGTGTAGCCTCCGTGTCTGTATGCGTGAGCTGCTTTATGAATTCCTCTTTTTCGAGTACTGGGTTTATTACAATAAAACACGAAGCATTTTGCTTCGATAAGATCGAAACGCAGCGTATATTTAAACAACATAGAACGTCTCTTGAAAAGCTTGTTTTTAGATGCAGTACTCAAAAGCATAGGTCGAGGTTTTATAACATTAACCCTTCATCGAAAACTGCTTAGCGAAATAATTATTTCCTAGATAGAACATATTCTATATAGAATGAATACAGTACAGTATCTATCGCACAAGCACTGCTGTGTATCTGTATAGTTGAATAGCGAGGGGTCTGAAAATTGAGGATGAATGTGGATACAGTAGCTCTAATTTTGTTTGGCAGCGCTCGCAGGATGTGTGCTACACGGTTGTTAAGAACATTTAAGGGTTGTGTCACTAATAATTGCAAGGGTAAGGAGAATGTTTTGATATGGAATGTCTTGTTTTTAAACAAATGGAAAGTTGCACTCCAAGCGCAAGTCTTTCATGAACCTGTTGGAGAACACAAACAGGAACAGATCACCGTGTTTGTTTTTGTCATGTGCCGCTACAATAATTGGCGACTGTTTTGTTTTTAAACACATCCATTTCAAAAGAAATGCCAAGTACAAAAATAAGGGGCGTCTTTTTTCAACCGTGGTCTGTTCATACTGTATAGGAATTGGCGTGGCAGAGAACCGAATTTGTCACAACGAAACAAATGCCTGAAAATATTAATTCAATGAAAATAAAATAAGATCAATTCCTGTTAATTCAGTATTTAGAGTTTTACGCGCGCCTTGCTGTTTGTTTGTTTTTAGAAAAGACTTCAAACATTGAAAGTGTTTTGTTCCTCTTTGTGCATGTTTAACCATTCTCAAAACATAAGGCTCATAGAAGAAATGTGGAAAAAAAACACGCGGCTAGAGTTACAATTGAATCTCTGTTCCTCTAATTTCAAGGGTATACCTAAGAGCTGGAAACCATGTTTATTTTAGAAGTCATCGTTGCCTGGTGCTAATTAGCAATTTTTTTTTCTTTGGCACCAGATTATTTTTCTTCCTTTTTTTCTGATGTGAGCTATTTGTGATTTCAGTAGATGCAAGGTTTTGAAAATCACCTTCAAAACCTACATCTTATAAATGTCTGCATATTTTACAAATTATAATGAATAATAATTTACCTTCTTCATTAGTTATTGTTTCGTCACTCACCATAGTAGAGTTATCAAGACTGCTGTTGTTGTTTCTTGGAAAATGACTAGTGTGACCTACATCTGATGATGTTTTTACATCTGAACATTCTTTTACTCATTAAGGCATTAGCTAGCTTTTGCCTGACTGTAAACGTTTTTTTTTTCACAGAGGCGGGCATTTTGGCACAGAAATACATTGAAAAGGGTCTTTTGGTTCCTGATCAAGTTATAACACGTTTGGTACTTACCAAACTGGAAAGGATGACAAGACACAGCTGGCTTCTTGATGGTAGGTACTGTCCGTCCCACACACTACAGTTACAGTAGTTAAAAGGAAATATGAGCAATGATTGATGATTGTTAAAGATTAAGTACAGTATTACACAACTGAATTGTAGAGAGAGCAATCACTGTGGGCTCATGGTAGAGCTGTATTTAAACACAAGATTAAGTAAAAAATACATGTGATATGTCTAAAGACAATACGGATAGTATTGATACAGATAATGAAATTCACAATCCATGAGCATTAGTCATAAAATTAATCAAAATGGTCCTGTATATGCCATTGATATTCTGTCAGAGAATTTACCCTAATCATGAATCTCTATTTAGTATCAAGATAATTTAATAAAATGGCTTAGGAAACAGTGATGTTTTATTAATATAAATATTCAAAAACTGTCATGTGAAAATGTACTTTGAAAGTTTAAATAATCTCAATAACATATCTAGCATTTTTAGGTTTTTTATATTAAAGGTTTAATACTTAGACTTCTTATACAGGAGGACTTAGTTAAGAGTTATGTTTAATTAAAAGTTAATAATACAAAAATGTTCTAACACACCCTGAAATTATTTATTGGAAGGATGCCATTTTGAACTATTAAAATTAAAATATGGATAATCTAAAAACATAACTTTTAATAAAAATACTGTAGATGATCTTGACACATTCAAAAATCCATACTTTTCAATTTAAATACATATCTATGTGGTTTATCCACAGTCTCTTGATATTGTTTTTTGTAAGCTCTAGAATGAGAGTAGAATATTTAAGCAAACTTACAGTAGTAATTGGTAGTTAGTGATTGTAAATACTGGGGTTGGTGACAGACTTTTATAGATATCTGAAATTATATGTATTTGTAGTGTTTAGGGATAGATGGTTAAATTGTACTGATGTTTAATGGATGTTAGTGTTAAATCTATGAGTTTTTATTGAGTGAATGCGAGATGTAAATTGTAGTGTCATCAGCACAGAGAATACAATGAGGATGTACTCTGATCTCTAATTGGTTATTCATGTATAAGTAAAAGGGAAGTGAGCCAAATAAGGTACTCAGATTTCACAAGAGGTCTCTTCTTATACAATAGTCACTTATTTATCAGCTCAGGTTCTGTTGCCATTGAAAGATAGTCAAAAATATTTTAGATATGTTTAAAAATTGCGATGTTGTAATTTATGACTAGATTATAATTCAGAGTCTGGAGGATTTTGTAGAGATTAATGAGGACTGCATCTATAATTATGGTATTATTAAGAACAGTTCTTATATATTCAGTTGGAAATGAAGTTGGTAATGATGTAGACCTATTTATGTGAAAGCCAAAATGATTTTATGACAGGAGATTTGGGGATTCTAAATAACCAATTGATTGATTTTCAGGTATTTGTTTCTATTGCTTTTGAACTATGTGTAAAATATTAATGGTTCTGTAAAACATAGTGTTAGTTCCTCGATCTGATTAGGGTAATCAAGCCTTTTTTTCCCATTGAAATGTGAAGGTACCATGTTAAATGTAAAGGAATAATTGGAAAGAAATAGTCAAAATGGAAAGTCTAATTTCCATTCCAGAATAATGTATAGCCCAATAATTGTTCAAAGACTGAATGACTATAAAAACAGGAAAATACAGTGAAAAAAACAGGAAATACAATCCTATAATAAAATACATTTTATTAAAGCAACAAAGTCGGTAAGTGGAGAAGGAGTGAAATTTTTGTTCAGCTGAGTGAAGTGATGATTTAATGCATTAATGCATTTTTTATTATTTATGAATTTGTGACAAGATTTCTTTGGATATTACGTTTGATTTAATTCTTTTTCTGAATGCTAATTATAAAAACTACAGTTTGTATCCTGCATTTCTCTAAACCTGTTCCAAAACGTTGGAATGACCGAATCTACCCTCACAACAGTCATAAACCCAGCGGGCCAACCTTTGTCACGTATCTGTACAAATAAATGCTAGAAAGTCAATGGACTGCTAATGGCTTATTGTGCACATGCCTGTCAGACAGGAGTAATGTTATTGTGGTGTTAGAAATGTTACATTTTAACATAACAAGTTCACACATATGAACATGGACTAGCCAGAAACAGCTCAACAGCCAACACCTCAAAGTAAATGAGTTGCACAATAACTGGTTACCTAATCACTGAATTTGTTAAGTGATCAGAAATGCTGCCAAATTCTACAGCTCAGGGGCAAAATTGAGTTCTGAAAAGGAAGAGATGGAGGAAGTGAATGTCTGTGGACATTGTGGTTGAGTGTGTGTCCATTTAATTTTCTAAAAAAAAAAGGAAAAAAAACAGCTGTTTGTTAAGCTCTCTTGCTTAGCAAGTTAATGGAAGCATGTGAGCCACTCTTTGAGGTTCATTTTCTATTGTGTCATTCTTTTTAAACTAGACAAAGGTTTCAAGCTTAAAGAGACTGTTTGGGGCATATGAAAAAAAAAACACTCTGCAAAGAAAATCAGAGCTTATTCTTCTACAGTGTTGTTCTACAGAAATGATGTTCACTTCAATTGGTATGGTACACAGTCTAGCTTTGAACTTTTAGACCATTTGAAAGACCATTACCCGTTTTCAACACAAACTGTTTCACTGTATTTTTATGTGCAGGTTTCCCGCGGACTTTGGCACAGGCACATGCCCTGAATAGCACCTGTGATGTCGATTTGGTCATCAGCCTGAACATTCCCTTTGAGTCACTGAAGGAGAGACTCAGCTCAAGGTGGATCCATCCTTCTAGTGGAAGAGTGTACAACATGGAATTCAATCCCCCACAAGCAGAGGTGAGGCTTATCCGCTGGAAAGCGGATTTCTTTCTTGATTTTTACGACAGTACAACAGGCACATGCACAGCTATGGTTGCTCTCCATAACAAGCATCCATGAGGATCCATTTGTTTGATAATGGGGACTCCCCTCCACCTGGATGATGCGACGGCAGCCATAGTGCGTCAGAACGCTCACCACGCACCAGCTATCAGTGGGGAGGAGAACAGAGTGATGAAGCTAATTCATAGAGGGGTATTATTAGGAGGCCATGATTGGTAAAATGGGAAATTTGGCCAGGACGCCCGGGATTACACTTCTACTCTTTTCGAGAAACGCCCTGGGATTTTTAATGACCAAAGAGAGTCAGGACCTAGGTCTTATATCTCAGCCAAAGGATGGACACTGTTTACAGTATAGTGTCCCCGTCACTATACTGGTGCTTAAGACCCACATAGACTACAGGGTGAGCATCCCCTACTGGCCTCACTAACACCTCTTCAAGCAGCAACCTAAGTTTTTCCCAGGAGGTCTCCCATCCAGGTACTGACCAGACTCACACCTGCTTAGCTGCAGTGGGTTGCCAGTTGTTAGTTGCAGGGTGATATGGCTGCTGGCTAGGTATCACATTACCTTTGCAAACATTAGAACCGCAGTTGTTAAAGTTTCATATTAAACTTTATTGTGGTTTTATCCTGGCAGATGTGTACGATCTTAGCAGCTGTCATGGATTCTCAATTCACTTTGTAGCATCTTTTA